GTACTTCTCGAACTGCAGAGGTCGCCAACCAACTGGTGGGAGTTCATCTATGATCTCTTGGACGAAGACTGGTTCTTTTGCTGACTGGCTGTGGTGTTTGACGGCTCGGGCTATTGGAGGAGTCGTGCTTTTGTCCGCTTGGCTGTATTCCAGTTCAACTAGGCGCTCTTTTAGCTCTTTGATATCGATGTCTCTATTGGTTGGGGCCGCGTCTATGAACCTTTCTCCCTTCGATATTGTAGGACGGTCTCTGACTAAACTGGATTCGACAATCGAGATCAATTGTGGTGGTAAATGTTGAATGAGCCGTTCTTTCGCCAAAACCCGAATGGAACAGTGCGATTTGTTGTGGTCATCACGTGCATGAGACCGGACTGGAGAGTCTAGTCTTCTTGACGGTTGTTGTCTTTCTTGATCAGATCGGACCTTATGCCTTTCTAGATGGCATTTTTTGGGGTCCGCAGAGTGAGGATCAGCTATAGTAAGTGCCTGCATGGCAGGGGGAATGGTCTGGGGGTTCTGTGCTAGTTGTCTTAGTGTGTCCATCATTGCAAGAATCCGGTCGACCTTTTGCTACATCGCCTAGAACTGTGCGAGGCCAATCGTCACTTGCTATTGGGGATCCCGAGGTGGACATATGTGGTGAGAATGAGATCCCCAAGATGGGGATCAGACTCCATAGTGGTCGGATGCGGTTTTTAGCATGGTTCTTGATTGCATGAAAAGAGATTTGGGAATGGCTTTTCATACGTTTCCCACAGACGACACCAATCTGATGTTGTCCGATCTAAGGTGGTCTTAAACCAAGATTAAAGTCAGATAGTCCTGCCGACTGATGAAGCCGAGGTGAAAGGATGAAGCCGTGCACTAAGATTCTAAAATCAAGAAAAAGGTCAAAGGCTCAAGGAGTTGTTCCCCGAGTAGGCACTCCAACGCTCAAGTCAGTGGTGTGAGATAGATGGTTGGGCTGAACAATTGAGAATAATGTTTGTCCAAGCAGGAAGTAGCAGTATCAAGAGTCAAATGTCCCTTACCCTGAGCGAAGGTTAAGTATTTATAGCCGAAGATCCGTGTCTGACTCGGATGAGGCTTATGGGGTTGTTGGGATGAAGTTACACGCTGAGGTCTTCGGGATAAGTCCATATCCCCAATGGAGTTGTCTCCCGTGTTCGTGTAGGACTCTCCTTGGTCGCGCTTATCCATCTTGCGTGGTGCCGACATGGCTAAGGGATAAGACGGCCACAGAGGATGCCACATGGCGCCTGCACCAGCTCAACCATAACCCAAACAAGTACTACTCCAGTCGCTTTTATATGTTGTCAGAGGGTCGATTCAGTCCTCACAAAATTGTGCCCACACCCTTTTCAGCCATACACTGCTCGTGGGCGGCCCGTGCAAAGTGTAGGCCGTGTCGCCCTCCCCTGGGATAACTTGGGGTTTCGGTCCGGCATTGCCCACGACCCATGCCCATGCGGGCCCATGCTATGCCATGGGCCGAGCCTTGGGCCAGGTCGAGCCATGCATCGGGCCAGCTATTTATTTAAAAAAATTGACAAAAAACTTAAAATTTTAATTTTATATGAATTTTGATGTATACAATTGCTTATATATACAATAATTAAATAAATTAGTATAATAAAATTAAAAAATTATTTACTTTATTAATATATTATATACTATATATTATTATATAATTATAATCTATATAATTATATATAAAATATATAAATAATATATATGGGCCATGTCGCGGGCTAGGCTACGGGTTGGGCTGTGCCAGCATGCGGGCCGCGGGCGGCATGGCCCACTCGATAGTGCCATGTCAGTTTGGCCCATGGACCTAAAACCCAAGGCCCAACATGGCCCGCATGATTGTGTCAGGCCTAGCATGGCCACGGACCGTCATGTCAAGCCATGCCAGGCCAGTCCAAATTCATGCTGGGTTGTGTCGGGCCACGAGCAGCCCAACCCAACTTACACCTCTATTAATACATGTGAAAAGAGTGAACACAATTTTGTGAGCACCAAATCTGATTTCATGTTGTCATTGATTGAATTGTGGAGATGCAAATGTGCGTCTGTAGATAATGTTGAAAGCATTATTAATATCAACATGTTGGTAGCTGTTATCATCTCAATAGAGACTTCCTAACCACGGAACATTGGCATGTTCATTTGTGAATGGTAAAATAACCCCATTATAAATAATTGGAAACATCTCCCTTCCGACATTATTGCTTCTACATGCCTTCCATTATTCTGAGCTAATGAAAACTCGCAAATACCTAAATTTGACCATTTGAATGGCAAATTTGTTTCTTAATTTGCCTTTCCTATTGCTATTACACTGGCTATAAGCTTTTTTTACTTGATTTTGAAAAGTTTACTATTTTATATATTTATTTGCAATTCTGAATTTTTGGTTGAAATGTATTTTTGAAAACTGTATATTTTCATTTAGGTAAGTGGAGTAAATGCATCAATGTCAGAAAGTGCTAAGGAAAGGAAGACAATGATATTTTGATATAAAAAAGGTGGATGTTGATACACAACCGTCAGAAAGTAAAGGGGAAGTTGAAATTTGCCATTATTCATAGGAAATGTTTTGGAATTCGGATGCAGGGAAGTGCTGTGAGGATAAAATCACAGTTTTCTGTCAGTTGTTTCTTGGCCTATTATGGGAAATTCAGAAATTTGGGGTAGTGTAAAGTTAATATCTAAATTTTTAAATATGTCATTATAGTATCTAAATTTTCAAAAAATGTCAAATTGGTCCTTGCCATTAATCGAACAAGAAGATACTATTTATTTTTATTTTCTACTATGATATGAAATGGATGGCACCTAATTGGTTAAATAAGTATTTCTAGGACAATGTTGAACGTATAAATGCGAAGACTGTTTGTATCATAATATGGAGGCCGCGTTCTGTGCACCCATGGGTGCATTGGACGAGTGCACCCTCGAATGAGTGGCAAATACATCGTCTCATCCGTGTTAACCGTGAATTAACGGAAATTTTCTCCATTACTAATAGTTCGGCTGGTTGAACTGGCCACTCTTGATTCTCCTTCCCATCGCCATCGGCAACTCCCTACGCACCGGCATCGTGAGCGGGAAAAAATCCACCATTCCCCGCTTTGATTGGGTGACAAGAACTTTGTATCTGCTCCTCATAGAAGATATAGTCTTGCAAGTAATTGGAACACTGGGTCTGTCGACATTAGGAAATGAACCGACAAAATTGGAAAGGAGTAAATGTCAAGTAAATGAACTCCGGTGAGAAGAAACTGGAACCCAGGAGTAAATGATCCGTCAAGTAACTAGAATGTTAACTAACTGGAATGCTAGATCTGTGGGTCCAGTTACCTGGATTTGATCCGTTGCCCTCTGTCGTGTTCTACAAGGCTGGTTAAACCAACAGAAGAAGCTAGCATTCAAGCCACCAATGGCGAGAAAAAAAATCCATTGTCTCACCGCTAGACCTGTTCATGGGCCAGGCTCGGGTCGAGCTTTCACTCTGTATAAATAAATTTTTCTAAGGCCCAAGCCCGAGCCCGGCCCGACCATCGGGCCTACAACTTGGGCCCGAGCCCAGCCCTCATAAAAAGCCCAAAGCCTGGGCCTGGACCCAAGTCCGAAATTTAGCCCATGCTGTTACTATTGCTGAAGCGACCGAATAGAGAGAGAAAGATTATAAAGAAAAAAATAAATATATATATATATTTTAATAAATATTATATTATTTATATATTTTATATAATATATAAAATACATATTATGTATTTTATAAAATATATAATATTGAGTCGGGCCGGGCCGGGCCGGGCTCGGACCGAGCTTTTTTGACAAATCCCGAGCCCGGCCCGAAATACAGTCGGGCTTACTGTGTTAAGCCCGAGATCAGGCCCGAGGGCCTAATTACATGACCAAGCCCGACCGGGGTGCGKGCCGGGCCGGGCCGAGCCATCGGGCTACCCGGCCCATGAACAAGTCTACTCACCGCTACGGAGATAACAACAAACAAGGGGGAGATATACTCCGGTGAGAAGAAAGGAGGGGAAGAAGAAGAAGAAGAAGAAGAGAGATGGAATGGGTTGCACCGAGTTCAAATTGGTCGCTATAATCAGCCACAACAGGAAGCCCGTCGGTATTGACCCACCTTCATTTGCCTAAAAAAAACCCGTCAGTGTAAGGCTTCGATTTGTTGAAAAGAGAAAACAGGAAGCCCTTGTAAGAAGAAGAGGCCAAGAAGTGTATCGTCGGAGTTCTTGCCGTCGATGGCTACTAGTTTGGGTCATTGTTCACTACTATATGGTTGTTGGTGTGTGGGTAGGGTTCGGGTCCCATGTTAATGGTGCAAAGCCCATTAGTTATGAATCTTGATCCTGGACACATGGTCGATTGGGATCTATTCCTCACTGAACACAATCACATCTCACCCTGTATTGAAAACATGTTCCTATAAATCTATACTACTTGTAAAAGAGCAAATGTCCCTTCTTTTTAGAATTTTCATTAGATGTTTTCTACCCCCTTATCCAAGTAACATACAACCGTATAAAGAGAGTATCTATGTTGTTTACTTTTCCTTTAAAAACTGTCCATTTATAACTGTTCAAAAATTGTCCTTGTAAATAATTTTATCTCAGAGAGACTAACACGTGCAAATGCACATAAATGTTTCTATACATGATCAAGGCATACTGTGAGTTCAGTGTGAGGCGCGATCTGTAAGGAGCAGATCCGTCGAGGAATTGGATCATCAGACATGGAGTGGGCCCCCTACCTCCCTAACTACTCTACACGCAACCCAAAAAGAGAAAGGAACGGACGGTCATGGTATGGTCTGGTCCGGTGTTTTTCTACTAAAAGTAAGGAATTTCCCACGTGTATAAAATAATAATAATAATAAATGGCAAATAAGTACTGCCCATAAATAAATAAATCCGATCCCAAACCTTAAAGTTAGCCGCATCCGCTTTCTCTAGAATTTAATTCGTTCGCGAATCGCGATTGGCCGTCTCGTTATCTTCGGGGGGGCGGAAGGAAGACAAGAAACTCTCTTTACTCATCTATTTATATTCATTTTTCGCACTCTCTCCTCCCTTCTCTCTCTCAACTCTCCCCCTCTTACTGTTGCTAATGGCGGAAGTTGGACTCAACTCTCCTCTTTTGCAACCCGAACACTTCAGAAACTCACCCCCCGAAGCCCAACTAATCCTTGACATCGAAGTCGATGGCTCTGGCAGCTGCGATTCGCTTTCCTCGGTTCATTACAATTATCCCGCTGTGGATACCTCCGAAGAACACAACCCTTTCCATTTCATCGGTGCTGGCAGCTTTTCCGTTCCTCCCCAGTCCCCGGTTGATCCGTTTCGGAATTATACCCCCGATATTCAAGGTCTCTATGAATGGCTCAAAATTTTGGTGTGTATTCCCATTGCAATTGTTCGGCTTGTCTTGCTCGGTCTTTCTCTTGCGGTGGGTTACGTCGCCACCAGATTCGCTCTGCAGGGTTGGAAGGATAAGCAGAACCCGATGCCCAAATGGAGATGTAGGCTGATGTGGATCACCCGCCTCTGTTCTCGTTCTATTCTCTTCTCTTTCGGGTAAGTCGCTGCCCAGGGTTTATCCTTTCATTCCTATGGTCTTATTCTATCCGATTGTTGAGCTAATCATTCCTGTGGATAATAGCTCTAAATTATGCCAATTGCCAAGTGATAAAGTGGTTTCCGACAAGTATGATTTAGTGATCAGCTGTCCTTCCTGATTGTTCCTTTATAGGGTGTTCACGGTCCGGTTCGATGTAGTTTGGAGAAGATCTCCGACCAAACCATTAAATTACGTTTTGAGAAATTTCTAAATCAAAACAAATCGTTTTGGTATGGAAATTAAACTAAACCAAACCATAATAAAAACCGTTTTATTACAGGTTTAGTGCGGTTTTTAATACGATTTGGAGACTTTAGACCATTTTATGATTTTTTTCAAATCTCTCTTATATATAATATTTATATATCATATATTCATATTATATGTATATATAAAATTTCGATATGCAGTTTATGGTTTGGTTCAGTTTATAAAATTTAATAAATCAAACCAAAACCGCCAACTGCAATTTAGAAACCGTAAATTTGGTTTGGTTAGATTCGGTTTTGTGGTTTGAACCGTATTATAAACACCCCCAGTTCCTTATACATATTTTGGAGGTCTTTTATTAGTGGACATATCTTCAGTGTTTAAATTTCTCTACCGTACTCCTTTCTTCTTCGGAAGTTCCTAAAATTTGCTGAGGGAACTGTCAACGAAAGGGTTTTCAGGGTTTTGCAGAGAGCTTAACACTTGTGCGAGCTGCTAAGAAACTTAGACCAAAAAAAGGCATATCAGATTGGGAATTGTTTTTAAATGCACCACTTATTTTATTCTCCTTTTTATTAATCTGGGGAGGAAAAATCAATCATGAATCACTCTATCCAGGCAATGTCATAGAGGCACGTTTTTTTTTTTCGCTTCATGGGCTACACAACAGGGGTAGCCCATCCCCTTTCCCTTAAGCCCCCCAACCCCTGGTGGCAGCGGGATTTGATCCCAGGTCTCTTCTCTTACGAATGAATCTAAATCACCATCAGTTGGCATCTAAGAGGCACGTTGAATACGTAAATGTTTTGGATATTTAGATTTTAACCACTTCATACCCATTATATAGGAGAAATAGACCTGGGTGGACCATTGAGGACCTCTCTTTCTCTCTCTAACTTGTAATAATAAATATATTAGAAACTTCCAACCTGGAGACCAAGGATTAAGCCCCCCTCCCCCTTGTATATTTCAATACAATGTTTTAAAAATTGATCCAGAGAACCATTCTAGTCACCGATTTTTGAGTTGATGGTTTGATCATCCGGTTCAAATGAAAATAGACAAAAACTGTTGAATGGGTTGATGATTTGACTGCCTGGATCAATAGATCGTTGACCAATTCAATATTTTTGACTGGAGACCGGATTTAAGGTAAAATGGAACTGATTGCCTGAACGATTCTTGATCCGAACGGTCTGACCATCCGGGTCAACAATAGTTCAAAAACATTGTTTCAATGTGTTCGTGTCAAATTTCCTTTATATTATATATTCTGCGTTTTCTTTATCGTATTTTTCCTTTTTTTTTTCTTTTACCTTAATGTGTTACAAAGTAAATTTGGGACCGGTTTCTTTGGTATGGGGGTCCATGTTCACCTTTTATTTTTCTTGGTTTGCAGTATATGGCTCTATAGTATCTAACACAAATTCTCACCTTCAGAAAACCTCAAATAGTTAAGATTAAGGCTCAATTGATTTGAGTAAAACCTTCCTATGAATAAATAGTTTCACATAATTTTAAGGAGGTTTCATGCTTTTACTTCTCCACTTCCCCCTGTCCCCTAATGATGCAATTCCATTCGGGTTCAAAACTAATGCATCGTTTTTTTTTTTTTTTGGTTTCAGTTATCATTGGATAAAGCGCATAGGAAAACCTGTTCCAAGAGAATCTGCTCCTATTGTTGTATCTAATCATATAACATTCATTGAACCCATTTTCTTTTTTTATGAATTATTTCCAACAACTGTTGCTTCTGAATCCCACGATGCCATACCTTTCGTTGGAACAATTATTAGAGCAATGCAGGTAATTTTATGCCTCTGGTCCCCCAAGTATGTTGTTTATCAGAGTTTCTGCCAATGGTCACTGGTATTTATGTAAGACACGTGTACTTTATGTATTTTGTTGCTCTGTGATGTGATTAAGGCCTGAATTATGTTTTTTCTCTTTGTATTATGTTCTTAGGTTATTTATGTCAATAGATTCTCAGCACCATCAAGAAAGCATGCTGTTCATGAAATAAAGGTAAACGGGCTCTACGTCTTAAATGAACTGTTTACCTTACTATGGTTTCTTCTTTCTTGTCTTTCCCCAGTCAATTGTTTGATATAGTTCAAGAAAGATATGCTAAATTTATCATGTTACATATAATTTCCTGACTGTAATTAACTATTTTCCATGCTTTTACTTACAAGATTCTTTGGCCAATTTCAAAAATTCCAAGAGGTCAATGGGCTTGGTCAAATCATCATGCATTACTGGCAAATGGTAGTCATATTACCAACTCTCTAGCCCGTCTTTTCTGTTTACTACCAAAATTACGTAAAGTTCTAATCACTGAACAACATTGGACAAGGCTTCCTGAATTCTTTTCCAAGCTTATGCTTATTTTTGGACTTGAAGTAAACCTTAGTCATCTTACTAGGCTCTTATCCACTGCCTACATTCCTTTCCTGTTCTTTGTTGGGCATTCCCAAGACAGGTCAAGCCACTTTTGATGCTTTGAACTTTTTGTTTTTCTCTCTTGAGAAAGGGTACTGATCTGTTTTACTCCCCAGCCCTCCCCCAGCAGTCCTTCAAGGAATTTATGCTTGCAAAATTATTCCTTAAGCAAATTAGAAAAAGAGTGGCATTGGTTTCGCTTTTGTTGGTTTGTGTTCTAGGGCTTTTTCTATAGTGTTAGTTTTCATTTATTTCACAATTTCCCCAAGACATAGGGGAAATTTCTCATTTCCCCAAGAAGTGAAACAAGAATCTCCTGAAACAAAATTTTCCAAATATGTCTTGATGTCAGCCCAATATTTTATGATTTTCAATATATCAGCATGCTTTTCAATTTATTGTGCAAATATTCCAAATTTCAACAAATCTTGGCAGAGGGTGGGCCTTTGTTCAATGGTTGGGTTGCTCCATTGTTACCTAGGTGATCAGGGTTCAAATCTTGGAAACAGTCTCTCTATATGTGCAGGGGTAAGTCTGCGTACACAATGCCAGACAAAACCCACATCTATATGTAGACATAGACATATTGATCTAAAGATTCTAATGATTAAATATGATTTCAATCTAAAGAATCCAATTAGAGAAATTGTACTGGCAGCTAAAGCATATATCTTTTGCTCTTTTGCAATTGGTTGCTTTTTATTTTTGTTCTTGTTTGTGAGAGATTTAGCACCATAGGTCCATAACCATAATTGAAGATATTTAATTCTTCCATCAACCTTTTCATTGATAAGGTCTAAAATATTGATCCTTTTCTACAAATTCGTGTTATCAACTCTAGTATGTGGATCTTGAAATTTTTTATCAACCATTTGCGTCGAAGTAACTGCCCTAAAATATTTTTCACTTTCTACCACCATCCCAATACTTAAAATCCTCGTCTTCTATTCATTTCTGCAACCTAAAACTCTTAGAGCATGTGGCAATGACAAATTACTTATCCCTGCAACCTATAAAAGCTCTGAGATCTTATTAACCACCTATTAGCTCCAGCTGTTATCCTAAACCCTGCAATCTTGGGCCCATAAGTAGGACATCCTACCCTGTCTCATGAGCAGGGCTTCACATCTTGTTTTATACATTTATTGGTTGGTAGAATCTTGTAACTTAATAAAAAAAGTTTCACCTTTGTATCTTTTTACTTAATATTTATTTCTCTAAGGAATGGGCTATTAGTAAATACTAAATAGTAGCATCCTTTTTATCAAAGAGGGTCTCAATTAAGCTGGTTCAAGGTTGAGCACTGCTCAAGAAAAGGTACCTAGGGTATCAGGGACTGGCTAAAGACAAATAATTACAACATTAGAATTTCTCAAACAACTCTTATACTCTCAAGTTTTTTCTCTGTGGGACTTCTTGACTTTTTTGACTTTAAATTGGATATGAGAAATTAATGATTTCAGGGAGACTTCTCCTAAAATTCAATACATCATAGGTCATTTTTTAAGCAACCATAATTTATTGAAGTTTTGGCACTGTATGCCATTTCTATCCACCTATTTGTGATTAGTCTAGCCATGGTATTTTTTGGACTCTAATGACAGTTCATTTTATCTTATTATATCTACTCTAATAACAGTTTTATCTTGTTTAACATAACTGTCCTATAGGTTGATGGGGTAAGCATAATTTGTAAATATATTGCAGTTTAGCACCATTCAATGTTTAAAATAAGGAAATTGTAGTTTATCTATTTTTGAAGAGTATAGACACGTATAAGAACTGATTAAAGTCTCGGTTATGATTTCTTATATAAATCTTGTCTTTTGTTCTTATCTTCAATGAAATTACATTACATTGTTTTTTTTCTCCTGTGATAGCAGACCATGCTTATTATTGCATCATCTTGAGGGTCAACATCTATGGAAAACTCTTTAAACTTGCATAACAGTCTTTGAATATGTTGCCGTGTTTTCCTTATGTTTAAATTTATAGAATTAGGGTCAAATATGTAATTTTATATCAATTTATAAGCTATTTGATACAGAAATGTGCTTTTAAGGATCTGAATACAGAGAAAGGCTTCCTGCAATAATTTTCCTCGAGTTTTGTTGTTTCCTGAGGGTACCACAACTAATGGGAGGGTCCTTATATCATTCCAACTTGGTGCGTTTATTCCTGGTTTACCAATTCAGCCAGTGGTTGTTCGCTATCCCCATGTACATTTTGACCAATCTTGGTAGGACTTTTTGTGCATGTGGAATTTACTGTGTCTGAAGTGATATATTGTTAGTGGCTGCTTCATTTGACACTGAATTTTGTTTAGGGGACATATTTCTTTGCCAAAGCTCATGTTCAGAATGTTCACTCAATTTCACAATTTTATGGAGGTAAACACTCTTATCCTATACATGTTTATTTTCCTTATATATTTATCATTTTTTGCTTTAGCTGTTAATCTTTTGTAGAAATTGTCTATTGAATCTTCTTTATGTTCTTCCACTAGAAAAAATTGAAGCTAACTAATACTCTATGCCAAGATCATTCCTTCTTGCTTCCTACATCATTATAACTCACTGTTTATGTATCCCTTCCAAGTGGACTTGTACATTCTTTTAGTTCATCTTGATTTCTTTTCTCTTTCATAAATTTGTGGAGCCACTGTGGATCCATTGTAGTGGCTTCTGATATTATTGTGGAGTTCTTAATTGAGGATTCTTGTTCTGGATTTTACAGGTAGAGTACCTTCCTATTGTCACCCCACTTGAAAGACAAAAAGAAAGCCCTGTTCATTTTGCTGAGAGGGTGAGCACATATTAATGATCTCATTTTTTGAACATGTTTACTATTTTATCTTTGGAGATATTTCTAAAGCACACAAGAGAGAACCTTCTCAAATGAATAAGTAATTCCATTTGAAGATTGGGTAATATAGAAAAGCTCACCAGGTTCTCATCATCATGCCCTATCAACATTTATTTTCAGCATACCTGTTGGACCAAATCTTTAATGATGATTCTACTTTGTAACATGATTGTATCAATACACGATCTAGCAGAGCTGTTTTGAGAAATACATGAGGAGAAGTCTCTCTGAACCAGTAATGATTACTTAACTCAATCATAGTCCCAACCATTTGGAACTGGTTTCACAAATCTTGTCCTGCCCTCATGCTTTATCAAGAGCCATTTGCCAAGTCTTAAGTCCTTGATCATTTCTTACCACTCCATTTCATGTTTTCTTTGGTCATCCCTATGTTCTTTTACTTGCACCAAGTTACTCCTCACTATTGCAGTCATCGGTTGGTTATGCACATGGAAAAATCATTTGAGTTGATTTTCTCCCATCTTATTGCAAATTGGATTGGAGCTACTCCCAACTTCACAAGTCCTCTCCAATATACTCATTTCTAATATGTCCTTTCTAGTTGCACATCTCAAATGCCCTTCTAAAAAGTTTGCTGTTGCACTTAGACTACAACTCCCACAAGAGTAGGGAGAAGACCAATCAAAAACTGCAATGGATTTCTTTAGACACATTTACAAGCTGATTAAACAAGGACCATGCAAAAGTTGGTTTTTATAGTGAGGTGACCAGTGTTTTAAAAGGCATGGGAGGCGTACGCCTAGAGGTGCGCCTCCAGGTGAGGCGCTCCCAAAACGCCCTGAGGCGTATTGCCAGAGGCGCTAACACCTCTGAGGCGTACGCCTCATGCGTTTTTTTCATGAGGCGTGCTAGAGGTGTACACCTCATGCGCCTCATGCAAATCTTATATAAATAGACAAAAAAAAGAAAAAAGAAAAAAAAAGGAAAGGAAAGGAAAATAAATGGAAGGGAAAGAAAAAGAAAGAGAAGAAAAAAAGAGAAAAGGAAAGAAAAGAAAAAGAAAGGGAGTAAAAGATTTTTATTCTTCTTAATATAAAAGATTTTTATTAAAAATAAAGAAAAAATGAGATCCCCCCTTCCTCTTCATTCTCCTCCTAACCCCCCTCCTCTTAAGGAGGCTTACGCCTCCTTGTGTTTGGGAGGCTTACGCCCCTTGCGTTCTGAACTATGCCTCATGCCTCTAGGTAGTGGAACGCCTTGCATTACGCCTCCGCATTTTAAAACATTGGTGGTGACTGGTAAGCATTATGAAGTTGGGAAAATATTTCCATACCTTTCGGTGAGATCCTCACAGCTCTACAGATGAATCATACCCACAATTTCCCCACTGAGCATGATTTTAAATTTTGGTGAAATTTCAAGAAAATTTGATTTTGGATATGTTAAAATAAAGTATGAAAAACTTTGCATGAATTTGTTTTGTAACAAAATAAAAATAAATAACATAAATATAGAAAGTAGCATAGAATATTAAGATTATTAATTAAACAAAAAAATTTCATGAAAAAACCTCTTAGAGTTCTGAAATTTGAAAACTTTTGCTTCAAATCTTGGGTCCAAGATGATTGAATTTCTAAATGTAAGGCTTCTCTTCCTGGTAACCTTTGCATTCTGACAACATAGCCATACTGATATGTTCTATGGAGAGATTTGACCAGAATATTTCCTCGTATAGTTACCATATGAAGCAATGGCTTCCTTTGGATTAAGTTTCTGCAACAACCAATGAAAATAAGTTTTGTTCCTTCCTTTCCTCAGATTCCATGCCTGGCCATTTCCCCTTCCAGTAGATATTTAGGAACTGCCCAGGCAGCAGTTTTTCAATATATTTATCCATCCCATATCTCTAGACTTGTGCTTGTTTTTTATTAGTTTTATTTATATAACATAATAAAAGGAAAACAAGTAAGGGCAAAGTGAAAATTATATGGTCTTTTTTCCTTGTATGTGTTAGGGCAGGGGAGGTACTGTACCTAGTGTTTGTGCAACTGCACTGGTTTGGAGCTATTTTCTAAGAATAGAATACAGTGTGCTGCTAAGATGGACATTTACCATAAATGAACTGAAGAAGAAGTCTCAACCATCTATACTTTTATTAGTTTAAACTTTCCTATTTCATTTTTTATGACTGTTGATACATGCTCCTTTTACTTTATATTTCTGGAACTTGCTTCATTCTAGGTAACACAAATGTAGTCCAAATATATTACTAATGATGATTGGTGAACTCCTAGGTTTAATGTGAAGTGGATATACATGACCATGCTATTCTACAGGTCCAAGATCTCTGTTTGTTAATATGGGCTAAGTAAATTATTCAAGGATTACAAATGCATGGCCGAAAGCTCTTGATTAGCAGTATCTTCAGTATTAAATTCTCAATTACCTTGTAGAAAGCATCATACTTTCTATTTTCTAGTGCTGCCTCTTGAGATGTGTTTTCTAAAATTTCCCATTTAGATTATGGGGTAATAAATATCTAACTATCAGTTCATTGTTGATGAAATGCTTTGCAGACTAGCTATGCTATTGCAAGTGCACTCAATGTTGTCCAAACATCTCATTCCTATGGCGACTTAATGCTTCTGGCTCAAGCAGCCAAATCACAAAAAGTAAGAAATGCTCCCTTTACATGCTTTATTGCTAAGATGGCCTTTTTTCTTTCTTTGTCTGTTTCTAACCCTTGATAGGCAGGGTACTTTAGTTCCTGCAATCAAATTCTGGTCCTTAAATCTTGAAATGATTTTACAAATTTTAAAGAACAATGCACCTGTTGGAATGATAAAATTAACCTTGTTATTTAGAGGGATAATATCATATCCAATTTTGTTGGTGAATTTTTTTAATCAGTAACAGCCACAATTTTATTGACTGATGAAAACATGAGTTACAATATCAAAATGTGTCATGCACCACACTTTGATAGGCTAGCCCCAGCCACCTACTCCCTGTAACATCTTTTACATTTTTCTTTCACAGCCAATCTTCTTGGACAACAATCGCCTGATACAATTAACTTGTATTGGCCTCTTGTCCCTCTAATACATCAGCTAACCCATTGGCTGATCTCTGGACACAAGTTGTCCTTGTCTGTCTAGCCAGGCACTGCACCTCTCTCGTGATATGCCTATATTTCCAAGATCCTTCCATATTGTTCTTAATCCAACCCATTATTACTTTGGTGTCTCCATCCATCACTTGACTCCTATAGTTGAGAGATTAACCATTCTTATTCCTTGTAAGACTGCTGACACCTCCGTCCTTGTCAAATCTCCATTTCTAATGGGTTCTGATGATTCACAATCTGGTCGCTCCCTGCTAGAAGGCAGCTCGGATGTCGGACTGGCTACATGGCCGGGTCAAACTTCAAGGCAAGAAGATCAGAGTATTCCATGGTGTTTTACCCAGTGTGGGCACTCCAATGCTTAAGTTAGCAAAGGAGATTTAGAGAGAGCTGATAGTTTGTAAGTATGAGAATACGAGAGCTAAATCGCACGTACCTTGTGAGGCTAGAGGCGAAGCCTTTATATAGGCAAGCTGCCGTGGGCCTCACGATGCATGTCCGAGATCACCGGCCCGCCAAACCCGGAGTTAGCTTCGCACCCGAAGATGGACTTCGAGTAAGCTGATAAGGCTTATGCAAGTCCATCCGAATTGGGCGGAGTGAAGATAAGGTCCGTTGACGTGCGCCGTGATCCTGAGGAGATCGGAGATAGTTGGCTTGCTTCTAGAAAGAGGCTACGTGGCACCTCGGAAGGTCGGTGGATGTAGTGAGCTGCTTGGGACTCAGTCTTAGTTGAGTGACCTGAGGTGCTCGAGGTGACTAGGACTGCTGAGGTGTCCAAGATTGTTGAAGTGTCATCATATCACTCAGTTGCTTCACGTGTCATGTCATCATTGGACGGACCAAATTATCCCTCATCAGGTTCCAAGTAAAAAGTGAGTTTTAAATCATATTTCTGAAAATTCCCTAATTCCTACTTTATTGATGCCTTTGTTCTTACTATTTAATCTTGACGTCCATGATTGTCTTTTAAAGCTTGTTCTACTTCTTTTTTCATGAACTGTTATATCAATGCATGGACAAAGGATTTTAAAGTACCAGAAGGTATTTAAGTGGAAAATCAAAGTTTTAACTGTTTGGCAGCCCCTGATTTCCTTTCCAGATTTGAGCTGGCATTGGTAGCCTAATTTGTAATTAGGCTGTCTTCAATTGAGTGAGTCATCCCTCACTGACTTGATCTGAATGACTGAAGCATTGTAGTTGTTCTTATACCCCATGTTTTTCTTTTCATTTTGATTTCTATCATTTCTCTTAACTGCTTTATGATATTGGATGGCCTTCCTTCTGGGTCTTGAAAGAGCAGGCACTTGGGAGTCCATGCATCTAGGATTTACTTTGTATTGAATAGTTGTCTTTATAGGAATTTGTTTTGTAATTTCTGCATGGGAACATGTCCATAGAAATTATAGAAATTCGATCATTTCAGAGGATCTGCAACCAATATGTGTCCGAGTTTCTATTCATGTCTTCAGTAGAAACAATTACATTAGTGTCATGTCTTTCAATCTTAAATTATTCCTACACTGTGGTCCCATTCTTGTGCCCTATATCTATTAGTAAGCATAACATCCAGTGTGTTACATGTGCTTACTCACATTACTGTTAAATTAAAATTTTAATAAGAAACTTTTGTTGTTGTTGTTGTTATTTATTATTTAGCATTTGTTTATTATTATGTGGCAGGAAAAGGCCTCAAGTTATATGGTGGAAATGGCTAGGGTGGAAAAGGTGAGTTTTTTTTTTTTATTTTTTGTTGAAATATCTCAACATCCAAAAACTTCCCTTCAGTTGTACTTTAAGATGTTAGAGCTAGATTTTCATCCAGGAATGTGCATGTAGGAGGCCATTGCTTGGTGCTATGGAAAAATGTTGGATTCACAAGCAATGAGAACACAGGTTCAAGTCTGAGAATGGACATCTTGTGCTAAAAATGCCTGAAGTTAGGTCTGTGTTCAGTCCACCTCTCCCAAGCTATGTTACCTAGATACAGTGAGGACACAGCTGGACATGGTGTCAGATACAGAATTACACTAGTAATTAAAGTATCTGATACAATATGGATAACCAGGTATCCAGGTATCACTATCATAGCTCCCAAGACCATGGATAACCAGGAACAATATCAACTAAGGACCTTTATCTATGTTATGTAGTATTATGTAGTAGAAATTATTAGGTTTGAATTGCAAGCCCTTCATCAAAGGGTATAGACAACTGAAACAATTTTCTCTTCATTGATGAATAAAACTATTACCTATATCATGAATATAACTGGAGAGTGTGCTCAAATATAATCTACAAATGTAAAAGGGATGGGCTTACCAGTCAAGTTGCTTAGAGAAGATCCTGCATGACTGAGGATTTTTCCATGTGGAAAATGAGTTTGGTCCATTGTGACTCCCTGTTTTCGTCCCACCATCCATGTGACAAAGTTTGGCCTGAAAGACTTGGCCACGTGTTTAAAATAAGCCTTTTACAAGTCTTCAATTAAAAAAATTAAAATTTTCAAACAGTTAATATCTATTACAAGTCCCTGCTTTTTTTTTCTAGGTAGTGTTACTTATTAATATTATGCTTGATTATTTATTTATTATACTTTGCTGCAATAAGGAGAAAAACTGAATTTGGATTATTCTATTTCATTTTACAGTTGTTCAACTTAAGCACCTTGGAAGTTCTGGAATTTCTAGAGAAATTTCTTGCTATGAACCCAGATCCTAGGTAACATCTAACTGACATCCTGCTCTTGTTTCTTTTAGATAAAATCGTATCACATTGATGCTCAATGTGTGTTAAACATCTTATTGAATGCTGAAATGATTTTCCTTTTTTTCTTACTTTTTATAGTTGTCATCATTTATCATCTAGACCATCAAGGAAGTGAGGAACCATAGAGCGTATTTCTTCCCTAAATGTTGGCAAAGGGTGGAACATAGACTTCCCTTGCACTGAAATGAAACATGGCTGCACAGCTTGAAAACCAAGCATAAAGTCTTTTCTAATGCTTAGTTAAATTTGTTTTTTTTTATCAGCAGAGGAATTTTATTTAAATTAAGAGAACAAGTTACAGTATTACAGTAAAAACAGAAACACAGTCATTGCAACTTGCAAAACAGTATTACAATAAAGCCCAAAGAAACTGCTGCCTGTAAACTCCCTGTTTGGCTAATGAATTGGCCATCCCATTTGCAGTCATTCTGATCCATGTGAAAGAAGTATTAAGTTCCCTTTCTAGGCTTTCAATCTCCCTTAGGGAACGTCTGTAAATCCAAGGAGCATTACCCCAAGTCTTAGTCCATGATATCACCAGTTTTGAGTCCCCTTCAACCTCCAAGTTTTTTAAATCTGCTTGTTTGGCAAGTTTTAGCTCCTGAAGCAGTGCTAATAGTTCAACCTTTATTAAGTTACCTACCCCTAAAGGTCCTGAATACATTGCCAAAACGTTGCTTGAGTCTCTAAATACACCACCAAAGCTTGCCAATCCCAGGTTTCCTATAGAGCTCCCATCAAAACTCAGCTTTATTTTATTAGTAGTTGGGGGCTTCCTTTCCATCACCTTTCTTTCTTTGTTCTTAGAGGAGTATGCTACTTCTTTCCACACCCTTATTATATTAGCTTGATTTTGTTAGGAGCCAAGTATTTTTTACCCAGCATGCAACTTTTATCTTTATGGTTTCCACAAATTCTTCCTTTGACCTCTACTTCTCATTGAAGATTCTTGCATTCCTTTCCTCCCATAAGTCCACACCACAGTGGAAATATTACATACAACCTAAATCTGATGAGATTAATAAAGATTGGATATAGAACTTGATGTATTCACATATTAAGCATTCTTCTCTTTTGTACTCTTGCACACTCCACCCCCTACAGAACCTAAATATTATCCATTATTTTTTTATGACTTTATGAATAACTGAAGTGTTTTATTAATGAAAAGCAGAAGAAGTGGAAATATTACATACAACCCCTGGGTAAGGTGTATATGTATGTGATGTAATGTAATATCAGTATGAAACTAAAACTGCAAGGCTTCTCCATCGAAACATGAAACAAGATTTCAAATTATGTTCCTGCATTGAATAACTCACAGGGTTTAAACTGTTGCCAAGTTGGGCGCAATGTGGCCCTTCTGTTCCCAATGGTTAGTTGTTTTAGTCCAAGTCAAAATTCCATATAGAGGAGAAGCAACATAATTAAATTAGTACAGATTTGATCAGTTCTTGTTCAACAAGCTGTACAAAAAAGCAAGTGTTTTGTTAAGGGAAATCACTCATTTTTGGGGACACAACCACTAATTGTGATCCGGGGCTCTTGTAACTTACAAGATTGCATTTATTAAGATGAGCAGGACTGATCATTGGATGTGTCCCTGTCCAACTTACTTGAGGGAGGGCCTAAACGAAAATTCAGCATAATCGGATGTTTTAAACAATCTGGTTCTCACCTCACTAGAATTCAAACAGAACTCTTGGCCCATATATGATAACAAGAATTTAAGCTGATGTTTTGCACAGTTAATCTTCATGATGGGACATATGGTGCCAGTAGGCTATCTGGTGAACTCTCTAGCTGTTCGTAGTGGAGACCTGGGATCTAATCTTGCCATCAGGTTTAGGGGTTCTCAGGTTTGGGGAAGGGTTTACCCCACTTGTGTAGCTCATTTACACACACCCCAAAAAAAACCTTAAAAGTGGGGTATTGATGCTGGGGCCAGGCCATCCTAATGCAAGACAGGTTGCAAGTTATGGGGCCTAAGCCATCTTGTAGTTTCCTTGTCTTTCAACATGTTACTTTGCTCCTTGACCTACCACCTAATTGGTTGTTTAAGATAAATGATGATTAACTACAGATGCAGAATTCATACCCATTAATTTTTAACTCTTGCACTTAAAATGCTTTTTTTTTAACTTTTTTCCTACTGAATGGTATTTTATCTTTTTTTATAGTGAAAGAGAATTTATTAATAAAGAAAAAAGTAAGTTTTTACAAGTATTACATGTAGAAGTAAGAGTGAACACCTATACAACAACTCATGTCATCTCCCCCAAGTGTGTGACCATGCAAAAATACAAAAAATTGTAACTGAGCCCATATGTATGTCATCTTCAATAATGTATAGAGCATTCCAAAATTGCTACGAAAAGAAGCTCCATCTATGTCTGCAAAATCTATCAACATGTGACTGCATATAAAAGATGTAACCAAGCCATGTGCTGTATTAAAATGTCCAAAGAGCTCCAAAGTTGCTACCAAAAGAAGCACTATGTCTGTAGAGTCTATCAACACCATGAGCGGAGACACGATTCTTATAAAATCTGGGGTGGGGAGGAACTCTACTAGGATGCAGGCCACCTTATATCACCCCCAATGTATATATAAATGTGTTGGCTCCAGCACCTGGCAATACCCCAGTCCGAAATTAGAGATCCATGTGCGAGCATAATCTTCTAGGAGACTTGAACTTTCCATCAAATACACTTCTATTTCCTCCAAATCCCCCCGACAAATAAAATTTTTCTGCTCCCATTAGAGGAAGGCCAAAAAGAGAATATCTTATGGGGAAGAGATGGGCTAAAAACACATCTAGGGAATAAGTGAAGAAATGAGTGCGCTCATACTAAGCCACCTGGCAGTGGATGAACAAGTGACTCATTGATTCATTGCTCAATTAGTCTAAATATTTGATGGTTGTGAGTTATCTTCTTTTGTTTAAGAATGAGATTCCATTCTTAAGCTGAATTTGAGTTCTTCTCTTTCATTCTTTAAGAATGTTCAGGTGTCATTTACTTCTAAAATAGGGTATGGGGTCTAGGCAACTTATGAATTTGTATTTATGATACAGTATGTGTTGTTCTGTATATTTGTCTTACTAGTAGCCAGATGCTAGTGTTTTTTATAGGTATACACTTCTCATTTTTCTTTTGGCCATTAAAGTTAATAGTAAAGCAAAATTCATCATATTCTCATTATTTTGTATTCACAGTGGACGTGCCAAATTCCACGACTTTTTGAGGGTTTTGAAGTTAAAAGCAAGTCCTCTTTCTGAGAAGGTTAGTTACCAGGATGGTCTTTAAACTTTTTTATTTATTCTAAGTTCTCAGAACTTGGTAATTGATTTTTCCACCTTTTTCTCCTTTTTGGAAGCCTTAAACTATTATGCTATGAAATCTCTCCTGAACTGCATCATTGGTAAGGTTTATCATTTATTTTCTGTTTTGGCCATTCAGATCTTTAAGTTCATAGATGTGGAGAAGTGTGGATCAGTTACATTTCGACAGGTAATTGGTTGTTGTATTCTGTCTGTGCTAATTACTCTTATATGCTAAAAGGCACAAAAGATGCATAATGGATATCCTCTCATTTGGCAGTGCAGAGCTTGCCATTATCTTTAGAACTGATAAACACAGCTGATGGATGATGTTCCTCCGTTGATATTTTTGCACCTTCCATGATTGGTAACAAATTATGTGCCAATAGATCTTACATCGCTAATAGAAACAAATTAAGTACAAAGTAGGATTTTGAATGAGGAACAAATACAAAATTCACAACTAATAGCAAGCCAATGAAAAAGTATGAAGTATGTCAGAGGGCCAAAAAGCACGAAGTATCAAAAACTGATTTTGTGCTTTTCATGTTTTTTCTATTTTTACTTTGTGTTTTTTACAGGTAAAAAGCATGTCAAACAAGCGCATTCATGTACTTCTCGTACTTTCATACTTTCAAAAGTATAAAAAAAATACTTTGAAAAGTGCAACCAAACAAGGTCTTATTTTACCATAGAATCAGCAATGCTATTTGCAGATCTAGGTACCCATTTGAACAAGTAGTTCAAGCCAGATGCCAAGATCTTTACTTCTCGCATTGAGTGTCTTAATACCCAAGAGCCTTCCATTGAGGAGCAAACCAATATAAGCCCACCTAGCAGTCACCTTCACCACCAAGTTTTAGTAGTTAGATGACTTGGCCAGTTTAACTAATTGAAGAAGAGCATTCCCTCCCTACCTCCTTATCCAGTGTTGTTTTGGTCAATGACTCAAGTTACATGTTTGCTAATGCGATTTGCAGTCATCATTGTTTTATCTTGGTCATCATCATCATCGTTATTTTTTATTGTTATTGTTGTTGCTTGGCATGCCAAAACTGGATTGCGGAACCTGCAGTTCTTTTTTGGATCAGCTCATATCCTGAAGCAGCAACTTTTCTCGCGAGTATGTGAATTAGCCTTCACAGAATGTGATGCACTGAGAAGTGGTTACATCTTGAAACAACAGGTATTGTGGTTATATCTCCTTTCCTTGGGTATTTTCCCATTTGTTTTAACACCTTTCGTGTTCTTGTTGAACTTGTAACAGCTGGGAGACTTTCTTAAACCAGCAATATCGGATACGTCCGAAGATGAGGTAAGCAAACAAGGAATCCGGATCTGCTGACCACAATACATTGCTGGCCACATTCATCCAGCCACACAACAGGAATATCATAAGAGATGTTACTTCCCAATGTGCAGCTAGGTGAACACGCCAGCGATATGTTGTGTCTCAGAACCGAACTCGCAAACAAGTGCCTGCTATTGGGAATTTTCTTTTCAGCATGAAATGTTCACTATTTTAGAAACGAGACGCTTACAGCCTGCATATTTGGCTAATAGGTGAATCAACTTTTCAAGTTATTTGATTCAGACGACGATGGAAGGATCAGCAAGGATGATTTCATGGCCTCCCTTAGAAAGAATCCTTTGCTAATAGCACTTTTCATGACACAACGGAGGCATGCGATGGCAAGGTAGAACCGTAGAGGTTACTTGATTGACAGCTTTATTCGACCAAGGATCAGTTGGATAAGATTACTGTATTTTTCTAATTTTTTATGTGCTTGTGATTTTTTTTTTCTTTTCTTTTCGTGGTGGGGGTAGTACTGTGTCATATATGGTGTCAGAATTGGCTCCATAGAATTTTTTTCTACTATGGGAGCTTCTTAAATATCTAACCCTGTAAAATACTTCATTACGGAGTTTGATTGAACATTTATGTATTTTCTATTTACAGAAAAAAGAAAAAAAAAAAAAACTGATGGAAAAATGAGAAAAAGAAAGGTGCTAGTACAAATGGGGATCAGAACAAGATTACAACATTTACAGTACAAGTGCGACGTTACCCGCTCGTTTCACATCACAACACATTTATCTTTTGACTTTGATTCCTGCTTAGATATGCTGCCAGTTTCCCTTGGCGTCTGCAAACAAGGGAAACAAATTCAATCAAAGTAGAAAATAACTTGTAATAAAATTATAATGCAAGATGGGCACATTAGCGTTTAAGTCTGAACAAGAGAAGTGCGAAAAGCAGTTTCATCCAAAAGTAGAATGTAGGATTGCATTTGCAATAGAGAGAACTTGGGTGCGCTCAACCTGAGCCTTGCCCAAACCCAGGCAGACTTATACACATATGCATGCTTATATGCAAAACAAACAAAATTTCTGTTCAAAGGTTTAAACTAATGATACTACATAGGATCGTACAACTTTTTAATACATTGGACCAAATGAGCCCAATTAAACAACCTGAGCCTGGCTTGAGCTTGGACTGTCAATTTAAAGTTCAGGCTGAGCCTGGCTTGAGATTGGTCATTCAGTTATGTTTAGTACCATATCCTTCATTAAATTATGGGTGCTTAAAACATTTCTTATTATATTCATAAAAAAAAAATACATTTCTTATTACATCCACAAAAGTCTTTTTCAATCTACCCTTGGCACTTTCAGCCCCTTCTGTAGATGGTCTTTTTAAGCACATATCCTTTCTAAGTTTTACCACTCCTCCATCTAAGCATTGGCATTTCTGCCACTCATTTTCTGGACATGTTATCTATTAACTAATACACTGCTACATATAACACAGTTGGCCTTACAACTATTTTATAGAATTTTCATTTTAATCAAAGTGGTATTTGCCTATCATATGAGACTTCAGATGTGACATTCCATTACATGTCATTAACAAACATCAGGCACACTAAGACATCTTGAATATGTTTAGTCAATTCATCTATGACTAGTGCAAATAAGGACCAAGTGTTAAAACCTTGGTAAAAAACCATTGTAACTGTAAAATTTCATGTCTTTCCCACAAGTTTTCTAACATTGTTTTGGACGAGTGGTAAAAAGATTGTATTAATAAATATAAGAGGGTGAGAAACCCTTGGCATATACAAAAAGGTGCCTATATATGCACAGAGAACTTTACATTCAGGTCCACACCTATTTGCCTCTCATACATATGCTTTTCCTCAGATCTAAGGCCCCGTTTGGTTCGCAGGAATAGGGGTCTGGAATCGGAATCGAATGGGCTATTCCGATTCCAACTGTTTGGTTGGGCGGAATCAGAATCTCATTCCCTTTCCCGCTGTAATGGCATTCCCCCATTTGAGGGAATGGCGATTCCCTGCCCCTCCCTTGGGAATGAAATCTCACTCTTGCTCCCATTCCTGTCTGAACAAAACAGACTATGGGAATAGACCATTTCTGTTCTGATTCTGACTGCAAACCAAATGGACCCTAAGATCAATGAAAACCATATGGAGATCTCTCTTCCTCTCTAAACTTCTATATCAATCGTCTTAATGAAAAGATGGATTTCATGATTACACCTCAATAGTGCACATCTAAAATAGCATCATGTTACATCCTTACTGCTCTAGTGCCCAAAAGGAATCTTGAATACCTAAGGAAGCTAATGTAATTCATGTAACAGCAAGGAACCCCCCCCCCCCCAACACCCTCGGGCAATTGCAAAATGCCAGACATACCTATGACTTCAAAAGATGGTGTAGAGAGAATAAACAGCATATTTTTCTACATCATAAGTCCTCTCAAGAGGAATGGCACTGGATTTCTGGCTTTTTGGTTTACTGGGGTTGCATGAGAAGTTAGAAAGGGGACAGCTTGATGGATTATGCATTATGGACTGAACCAGTGGGATAGGTTTTTTATGGAAATGGTTCTATATACCATTTTGTGGGGCAATCTGGAGAGAGCAGTTTTTAATAATAGAGCATATAATGATAGTAAACCTACACATTTGGCCATAGGGCCAAGGTAGAAATTCAAGGTATTTTTGTTCAGGCATGACTTAATTGTGGATGAAAACCTAGATTGAGTAACACTAATTGTGTAACGTACTAACATGAGCAGTTCCTGTCATGTTGTTCACCCCACCCTATACATATGGTATTGGTAGGAGTTAGTAGACTAGGACAACACTAAGAATAGTAATGGAACCAAGTGCACAAGGACATAATTATGCACTAAAGAAAAAAGCAAACTGATTTAAAGAGTCAAATTCTCATTCCTTTGTATGCTTCACAGCTATTTCATCCCTTGATCAAGAGGAACTGATAGTTCAGGGGAACGATAGGTTGGAGATTCAGTGGACAAGAGTTCAGTCTGCAGTCATTATGAAACCCACTTCAGGAAGGGGGGTTGCATTGAGAGTTGATGTGCATGGGAAAAAAACATGGTTAGACACTTTGACCAGAAAAAACCCCGAGTACATGTTTTTATTCGTAAAGAGAAATCAAATGGATTTCAAGGGGAGTTTTTTGGAACATGTCAATAAGCTAGCCCCATGCTTCAAGTTGTCTCATGCACCTCGCGCATGAGACAACTAGGGAACAGTTGTACTGGGCCCAATAGTAAATTTATGATGTTTCTGTATCAATGAGTGAGGCTGCATCTCGCACCTCATTTTGGGATGCTTGTAACAAACTATTTATCATTTGCTTCTAATGAAATCAATTGAATTTTATCTATAAAAAAAGGCAATTAAAGTAATAAAATAAAAAAAAAAAAAAGTTGTCTCATGCCATAGATAAACCCAGACACACAAGAAATATGTTATACAAGCATATTCACATCTTTATGCACATAAGATACACACACACATTGATGAATTTCATAGGTGGCTAGGTAACAAGGCACCCCTATCACCTAGCTTCTCCTTAGCACCTTGAAAACTACGACATCACATATATTTGTTTCAATATGAATTCTATAGTTTTGAGATTTTGGAATTTGGATCCATGACCATAAGAGTTCGGCAAAAGTTTTAAATGCTGTCTACCAACCTGCCACAACCCCCCTCCTTTATCCGGGCTAGGGACCGGCAGTGTAGGATAAGCCCACACTGGCAGAGTTTGAGAGAGTGATAAAATGAGAAAAATAGAAAAAGATGGTTTGGTAAGGTGCATAGAAGACCACCTACAGCACCCATAAGAAGAAGTGATCTGTTATAAGTTAAAAGAGCTAGGAAGGCTAGGGGCAGACCAAAAAGGACATGGGTCAAAATAGTATGAAATGATTTAAGCACTCAAAATTAACAATGGATAAACTGATAAAAAAAATAACAACGAATATGGCATTAAGCAGAACAAAATAGCAAAAAAAAGATTCATTTGCCAACACCATATAGTTGGGAAAAGGCTAGATGATGATGTTTTTGAAATTTTATTTTTTATTTTACTTTATGCTTGGAATTTTTTTAACCTGAAAAAATTATCCATCTACTTAATTTGCATAAATCCTATTTTTGAAAATTTATTTTTTAATTTACTTCATGCTTGGAATTTTTTACCTGAATATCCATTTACATAATTTGCACAAGTCCTATTTTATTCATACAAATACAACAAACTGAACTTATTTATGATTTCCTTATACATTTTTTGATACAATTTGTTTCTTGTATAGTACATTTCTATACTTATTTTATACACATTCTTTTTAATATAACGTTAAATTTTATTTTGTATTTTATTTTACATTCATAACCTTTTCTATCTAAATAAAATAATATTGTATTAATAATTTCTATGTTATTTATCTTTATATTTTTATTTATAGAAAAATCACAATTATCAATTTTAGTTATAGATTGGTGGGTCCCATTATGACTTGTAATTGGATGAACATATGGATGAAACAATGTTTTAAAATGCATAGACATGATGCAAGGCATTCCATTACCCAGAGACGTGAGGTATAGTTCTTGAGGTGTGTGTACCAGAGGTGTACACCTCATTCATCTGAGGCATATACCTCAAAGGCACCCACACATCCAACATACACCTCGTAGCATTTTTTTGAGCACCTTGCATTGAGCCTTGAGGTGTGCATCCAGGCATATGCCTCGCACACCTTTTAGGCCTTGTTAGTTTTTACTTACTTGGGTAAGTGCATTTATCCAGGCAAGTGTTTCCCAGGTAAACCTTGCTTGGGTAAGCATGCTTCCAGCATTCTTGTACACTTAACAGTTACCTGGGTAAGATAGGATTGTCAATGGGTCAGGTCTACCCGACAGACCCGAACCGTTTATAACGGTTCTAGTTCTATGAATCATTCCAATGGGTCAATTCTGGTTCTAATTTTTCTGTCTCGGTTATTATCGGTTTGGGACCGGTTTTGGCTGTCCTGAACCAACTAGACCCAAACAGATTATATATACCTATTATATTTTACATGTAATACAAGTATTTTGTATATCTAATATTGTAATTTTAGGCACGTTTAAAACCTAAAACCCTTTACATTTTCCAGTTTGTCACATTTACTGATAATAGGTTATTGAATAAAATATTTTTTTCTTGTAAAAAAATATAGGTCTTAAGTATTAAATCAGGTTCAATCGGGTTATACCGATTGTCCCAATTACTAAATGGTTCAGTACCAGTTTTGAAATAATAGAACTGATCAGGTCTGGTTCGATTCCAATACTATCGGTTTGGAACGGCTCTACCCTGTCCAGAACCAGACCCGAACCGCTGACAGCCCTAGGTCAAGAGAGAGGTGAGAGGGCAAGAGCGCTTACAACATGGTTCAGCAGATGGATAATTGATCAACCCAAGTTGAGGGAAGGTATCAGTTACACCCTCGAGAATCCTCATTTACCATGGGACCCAATACAAAAAAAGAACGGTTGTGGTCAGCTTACCAGTTAACCAACTTACCCCAGCAAACAAAGGAGGCCTTAAAACATTGTAATGAAGATACTATTATCACATGTGGACATGTGATTTCTTTGGGTTGAGAGTTATACAAGATTCTTTAGGGGCATTCTACAACATGAATTGTTTTTCTGGTTTCCAAAACAAACCAAAACCATCCAATTTAAAAATAGATTGTTTCTCAAAACGAACATGTTCTCCGTTGTGTATGTGTTTTTTGTTTTCAAAATTGAAAC